CACAGCCCCAAACCCTGAAGCGTTTAGCACGAGCAGCAGCAGCAGCAGCAGCAGCAACAGCAACAGCAGCAGCAGGAACAGCAACAGCAGCAGCAGGAACAACAACGACAACCTCATAATAATAATAATAAACAGCAGCAGCAGCAGCAGCACAAAAGAATAAAATAAGCACCTCTAATACATAATCTTTTCCTTCTTCTCCTACAGGTGCAGCAGGCCTAGGCTTAGTTGCACGTATAGGCGGAGGGGCTGGGGGCCCCTTGGGGGCCCCTGGGGCCCCTGAGGCGTCTGGGGCCCCTTGTTTTGTTTCTAAGGAATGAAGAGAGAGGGGCTGACAGCTGACAAGACAGTGGACCAGCAACTGGTCCACTGGTCCTTCGTGTGCGTTGGCTGAAGGCACTTTGCGTTTCTGAAGCTGTAAACAAAACAAAGAAAATAAAGTGCATGCATGCATGCATGCATGCATGCAAATGGGGTTTGTTTAGTTGTGATAATGATAAAGAAGAAAGTTTACACGCTTTAGAACGATATTTATAAAATAAATAAATATAATTAAAAAGTAAGTACATATAATAATGTAAGGATAATTAGACAAATATTATAATAAAGGAGTAATTCAGCAATCAAACCCCAGACGAAACCCTAAACCCTAAACCAAACCCTAAACCCTAAACCAAACCCTAAACCCTAAACCAAACCCTAAATAAACTTAGACTATAAAATGAGAATAGAAAACAAAGCAACACAAAACGAACGCATCTTGCGCTTTTGAACTCCAGAACTTAGGGTTTAGGGTTTAGGGTTTAGGGTTTAGGATTTAGGGTTTAAGGACCTTTCGAACGCAAGTGGCCCAGCCCCACTCAGTACCATCGTCTTCAACTAGACAAAGCAAACGCCCTGGCTGTAGAAATCTTGCTAAGTGCTGCGGCTGCATTGCTATAGAGCGCAGCAGACGCCCTTGCTGCAGCAGCTCGTGCTTCCTTCCATAGAAGCTGCTAATAGCCTGAATAACAACAACACAAACCCTAAACCCTAAACCCTAAACCCTAAACCATAAACCCCCCAGAAGCTGCTGAGACAATCTACACGCCGCAGCGCTAATGCCCAGAACGTTCACCAACAGATGCAACAGATTAGGGTTTTGGGTTTAGGGTCTAGGGTTTAGGGTTTAGGGTTTAGGGTTTTGACCTCTTCCACATCGAAGTCTGGTTCCTTCTCGCCTTCAGGCAACGTCACTAGAGATCGAATGTCTTTTGCTGCATGCAGCTGCTCCTGCAGCTCCTGCAGCTCTTGCTGCAGCTTGAGAGAACGCCCGTGCTGCTGGAACTGCAGCAGCAGCAGCAGCAGACGCAGCAGCGACAGCAGCAATTACAGTAGCAGCAGCTGCTGCTGCATTAGCAGTAGCATCGCATCAGCAAGAAGACCCACAACAGCAGCAGCAGCAGCAACAGCAGCGGCAGGTATAACAGCAGCAGCGACACAAACAGCAGCACTAGCAGCAACAAGGCATCCTCAGCAGCAGCCGCAACAGCAGCAGCGAGACGGATTGCCCAAGGGCAGCAGAAGCAGCAGCAGCAGCAGAAGCAGCAGCAGCAGCGGCAGCAGCAGCAGCAGCGGCAGCAGCAGGGGTTGTTCAACGGGAGCACCACACCACAGGCGGTACACAAGGGTTTAGGGTTTAGGGTTTAGGGTTTGTGCCTGACATTAGCGAAGCTCCTTGAGATCATATAGACGGGATCTGCATCTTCAATTCTAAATAAGTTTAGCAGCATATTAAAACCCAAGTGAAACGTAGAGAGAAGAGGAGCAGCACCACCCATGAATAAACCTTTTGCTTCTTCAGGGTCTACTTGCTCATCAAACATTATTATTGCAATACCTTAAGAACGCACAACACAAAGACAAATACAACAAACATCTATATGCATGCATGCATGCATGCATGTATGCATGCATGCTGCTGCAGCTGCTGCAGCAGCTACAGAAGCAGCAGCAGCAACTGCAGCAGCAGTCGGAGCAGCAACAACTTCAACAGCAGCAGCAGCAACCCTAGCAACAAAACAGATGCAGCAGCAGCAGGCTAAGTGTTTTCCTTTCATAATATATTTTATTAAATTATATTTATGTTTAATTTAGCATAATCAAATAAATAAAAAGGTGCAGCAAACATTAAATAAAACAAAATACAAAAGATAAACATAAACACCTAAACAACTAAATAAAGAACTGACTAAACAAATAAACAAACAAATAAACAAACAAACAAACAAACAAACAAACAAACAAACAAGTAAAGAAAGAAATGAATATATGCAGCAAACATCAAACAAAACAAAGCAAAAAAAAGACAAACATCAGTACCAAAAGAAGTAAATACAAAACTAAATAAATAAACAAACAAACAAACAAACAAGACAAAACAAACAAGACAAACAAACAAACAAACAAGCAAACAAATAAACAAATAAACAAATAAACAAAACAACAAACAAACAAACAAACAAACATACAAAACAAACAAACAAACAAACAAACAAAACAAACAAAACAAACAAAACAAACAAACAAACAAAACAACAAAACAGCAAAGAATAAAGAAGAGTAGGCAGCAAACCTCTATCATCAAGGCCTCTTCTTCCTGCTCTGCCGGCCATTTGAATATACTCTCCGCCATTAATTAGACGATAAGCTTCTCCGTCCCACTTGCGAATCGCAGTAAAAACGACTGTCTTTGCAGGCATGTTTACACCCATGCTAAATGTCTCTGTGCTAAATAATACTCGTATCAGAGATTCCTAATCATCAATATACATATACACATAAACATATATATATATATATTATATATATAATATATATTGTATATATATATATGTATATGTATATGTATATATGTATATATATATATATATATAGTTATTTAAAAAAAAAGAATTGTTTTATTCTGTGGTTTTTTTGATTGTTTTATGCAGGGGATTTGTTTTGTTGTTTTGTTTTGGTGTTTTGTTTGTTTAAATTCAGTCGGGCAATTGCACCCACAGCAGCAGCAAGAGTAGCAGCTAGAGCAGCAGCAAAAGTAACAGCTAGAGCAGCAGCAAGAGTACCAGCAAGAGCAACAGCAAGAATAGCAGCAAGATCAGGAACAAGAGCAACAGCAGCAGCAGCAAAAAGAACAGCTGCAACAGCAGCAGCAGCAAAAAGAACAGCTGCAACAGCAGCAGCAGCAGCAGCAACAGCAGCAACAGCAGCAGCAGCAGCAGGGTTTTGTACCTGGAAGAGGATCTCAATAAGCTCCCGCACGAATGGCAGCAAACCTCCGTGATGAATGCCTATACCCCTCAGCAACAACGGTAGAATCGACTTGATCTGCACGCAAACCCTAAACCCTAAACCCTAAACCCTAAACCCTAAACCCTAAGGGATACACAACCTCTGGAGACTTGACTACTTGCACGTCGAGGAAAAGAAACAAAAATTTTAAGCGGCAGTGTTTATGGTTTAGGGTATAGGGTTTAGAGTAATTAGGGTTTAGGGTTTAGGGTTTAGGATATTTAGGGTTTAGGGTTTAGGGTTTGACCTGTGGCAGCTGTCTGTCTTCTTCATCGAGTGTACTAACAGCATTATTGAATATTTCTGCAATGAGTTTTCTTTCTTCTTCGCTGGTGAGGGTAACCCCATTACCATTGCCGTTGCTGCTGCTGCTGCTGCTGCTGCTGCTGCTGCTGCTGCTGTCTCCTCTACCAATGAGCGCTTGTGCGTTTGCTTCACATTCTTTTTTTGAGAAGCAAAATACAATAACTGGGGTGTAATGTCTTAGCTGGCACATGAGAAGTATTTTAGCAATACTATTTCTATTTTTTTGTTTATTTCTGCGTTGCTGCTGCTGCTGCTGCTGCTGCATCTCGACAGCTTGCTGCAGGGCCGCAACAGCTCTTAAAAAACTATCTTCTCTAAAAACTTTATTTTCATCCATTACTAAATAAACCCCATCACCTCCTTGAGGATACATATAATGCTGCAGCGGTGTAGGCCTCTTCTCTGTAAATAACACATGACAAGGCTGCTGCTTTAATGCTGCTATCCACCCTGCAAACTGCTGCGCATTAGGAACAGTAGCAGATAGAAAAACTAAGCGGCAGCCTGCTGGCAGCAATATTATACTCTCCTCCCAAACGACTCCTCTTTCACGATCCCTCATATAATGAATTTCATCGTACACAACCCAACGCACCTGTCAACAAACCACACACAAGGAGCAGCAGCAGCAGCAGCAGCAGCAGAAGCAGCAGAAGCAGGAGGGGTTGTTTTTGGAGTTGTTGGTGTTGTGGAGTAGGAATAGGAGTAACAGCAACAGCTGCAGCAGCAGCAGCAGCAGCAGAGGGGCAAACAACGTAAAACAACAGCAACGGCATCGCATCCCAGTATTGACGCCTGCCTGCTGCGCAGGAAGCAACAGCTGCAGCAGCAGCAGCTGGTGCTGCTGCTGTTGCTGCTCTGCTACAGCAGCACGGCCAGCAGCACCATCACCAGCATCAGCAACAAACAGCAGCAAGCAACAGCAACAGCAAAAAACAGCAACAGCAGCAGCAACAGCAGCAGCAACAGCAGCAGCACCAACAAGAAACAGCAGTAAACAACAACAGCAACAGCAACAGCAACAGCAACAACAGCAACAACAGCAACAGCAGCAGCAGCAGCAGCAGGATGATGATGATAATGATGCACTGACTTCGCGAACAAGTACAGAGCCTCTATAGAGCATACTCCGCAGAATTTCTGTTGTCATTACAACAATAGAGGCCTCGGGGTGTACAGACACATCCCCAGTCAACAACCCCACACTCTCTGTTCCAAATATTTCACACAAATCTCGGTACTTCTGATTTGAAAGAGCCTGCAGCAGCAGCAGCAGCAGCAGCAAAAGCAGCAGTGAAGTAGAAACGTGTCAAGCAGCAGCAGCAGCAGCAGCAGCAACAGCAACAGCAATGTGAAGAAGAAAACTATTGATGCACTCACGTAAGACAAACTCATTCTGCTGCTGGAGGATTAACATAAAAAGCACCAACAACGAACAGCAACAGCAGCAGCAGCATTAACAGCAGCAGCAGCAACAGCAACAGCAGCAGCAGCAGCAGCAGCAGCAGCAACTGGACCTTGATGGGGCTTGTATAGACGACTCTTTGTTTGTCTCTGAGCGCCATTGCAATCGCATATTCAGCAACAACTGTCTTGCCTGCTGATGTATGTGCAGCAACTAAAACATTCTCTCCTGCTTCTAAACATAATACACTCCGCTGCTGAAATGTATCTAGAACGAACTTCCATTGACGTGCTGCTGCTCGAGGCATGCTGCTGCTGCTGCTGTCTCCTGCTGCTGCTTTTGATGCTGCTGTTGTTGCGGAATCTGCTCCTTCTGAGGGATCTGCTGCTGCTGCTGCTGCTGCAGATGCAGAATCAGATGCTGCAGTTGATGTCGCATCAGATGCAGCAGACTTATCCGCTGCTGCTGCTGCTGCTGCAGCCTCTGGTTCAGTCTTAACAGGCTGCGATGATGCTGCTGCGGCACCGGGGGCTTCCGCCTCATCCCTTGCAGCAGCAGCTGCAGCAGCAGCAGCAGCAGCAGATGAGATTGTAGTTTGTAAGGGGAAGTCTTTAAACTTTGTTGGGAACCCCTCTGGATAAACTACTTCATGCAAGCAATTTTTGTCTGAGAGCAGCACACGGCTGACTAAACCAGCTGTAGCAAAGGCATCGCCGAAGGCTTTATCTTTTGCTGCTGCTGCTGTTGCTGCTGTTCTTGCTGCTGCTGCTGACGCGGCTTCTTCATCTGCGGCGGTTGCTGCTGCTTCTCCTGCTGCTAAATCAGCTGCTGCTGCTGCCTCAGTCTTTGGCTGATCTTTTGCTGCAGGGGCGCCGCGACGCTTCCTCTTCGTTTGCTGCTGTGGAGAAGAAACCCTAGACCTCTTGCTGCTGCCCTTTTCTTTACTATCCTCTACTGCAGCAGCAGCAGCAGCAGGATCTGTCTTCGGCGCTGCTGCCGTTGTTGTTGCTGCTGCTGCTGCTGCTGCCTTCGTCGCATTTGCTGCAGGTGCAGCTTTGGTTGCAGCAGCGCCATTATGAAACACAGAGAAAAGTGCTTCGAGTGTCTCAGCCTCCTTGTTCTCCATCTCCCGTGCTGCTGCTGTTGCTGCTGTTGCTGCTGTTGCTGCTGCCGCTGTTGGTGTTGCAGCTGCTGCTGTTGTTGCTGCTGGCGAAGCTGCAACAGCACAGCTGGACCGGCTCTTAGCACAGGCCCTGCCTCCTCCTGTGTCCCTGAGAAAGCAGAAGGTTGCTGTCTGCTGCTGCTACTGCAGCTACTGCTGCTGCTGCAGCTGCTGCTGCTGCTGCTGCTGCTGGGGGCCTCAAGCTGCGGCAAGCCACATCAGCATTCTTCTCCTCCTACAAGCAATCAATAATGCAACGGAAGGTAAAGAAGACTCACAAACCCTAAACCCTAAACCCTAAACCCTAAATGTGCAAGGGGGGCCCCCGCAGAGAATCTTTCGCCTTCTTCTGTTGCATGCGTGGGGCCCCGTGGGTCTTCTGGGGCCCCATTGACTTATTCAAATATAAACATTATTGTTATTATTTATTAATATTAAAACTATTTATTAATTAAAATAAACAAACACAAATATTTGTTCGCCTTACAGACGGCGCTACGTGCTGCAGGCTCAGTGATGTGCTACATTACACCCAAAGAGAATTAGGTTTTAGTGCTGCTGCTGCCGCTGCTGCTGCTGCTGCTTCCTTTGCTGCTGCTGCTGCTTGTGCTGGTTCTGGTGCTAGTGGTACTCCATTTGCTGCTGCTGCTATTGGTGGTGGTGCTGCTGCTGCTTCTACCGCTGCTGCTATCCGTGCACCTGCTGCTGCAGCAACAGCAACAGCAGCAGCAGCAGCAGCATACTGCTGAATATGCCTCGTCTGTATGCGTTGATGCTGCTGTAACGGGTCCCCTAGTGGGGCGTAGGGGCCCCCATAGGGGCTGAGGGGCCCCTAGAGGGCCTTTGGGGCCCCTAGGAAGGCTAAGGGGCCCCTATAGGGGCCTTGGGTCCCCCATAGGGGCTGAGGGGCCCCCAGAGGGCCGTAGGGGCCCCTAGAAAGGCTAAGGGGCCCCTATAAAGGCTTAGGGGCCCCTAGAAAGGCTTGGGGGCTCCCCTCTAACTCTGAGGTTATGTCGGTGTATATACACCGCAGAGTAGCGCTGCAATACAAATCCCTCATTAATATACACAGGAAGGAGCGATGAAAGGTGTATATATAGTGCCTTCATACTATAACTAGCATATACTTTCATTAGGTGCATATATATATATATATATATATATATGTATGTATACATATATGTATATATGTATAGTATATATATGCATAGATGGATAGATAGATAGATAGTGCCTTCATACTAATAATTTACCTATACTGAATGTCGTACATTTGTATATACATATATACATATAT